CTTTCCCTAGCTGCCTTTGAAAAGAAAAGTCTGTCCTACAAACTTCAGATTGTGGGACTGAGAGCAGAGGGAATTTGAGACTTTTAGCAATGGTTACTTACTTGTGCAATGGAGGCCTGTGGGTTCCTGATAAGGTTTTTCAGGGAACGCTTGGACACCCAGTACAGTTGGGTGAGGAATCCATTTGCATAGGTAATCTCATGCCCCTGCTTGGATACTCTCTGCTTGCTTCCCTGTCCAAGCTCCACTTCCGCCAGTGCTTCCTTTGTGCTCTGATACAAGCTGGAGTTGAGATATTTCTGGTGCAGTACATCTACCACACTGCTGACCACATTATCTTCTGCCACTCCATTTTCATTGCTCACCTCTGAGGAAGAAAAGATATGGCTTGTGACTCTTGTGACGTCAGACATGGCCCATCAACATGCTCAGCCATTTCAGAGGCTGAATAAAAAAATATAAAAATAATAATAATAAAAAAAGCAGGAACATCCAGACAATTTTAATTGCTCAAGCTCTGAGCTTAAGAGGCTAGCTTGAGTGAGAGGGTTTCCCTAGAGTTTTAACTGAACCTGCCTGATCTGCCTGTTCTTTTTGGCAGAGAAATTATCATAAACTTATAATGAGGCACCAGAAAACTCTTGTTTCACTGAATTTTCAAGTAATCAATGCCTGCTCTGAACCATTTGCCCAGCCCCAAAAAACACCATTACGAAAACTGTTCCCTTACTATCCTCTGTCATGGATATGCTACAGCATCCCCAAACAAGTATTTCTCAACATTTTACTCACTATACTGTTAGAGTTTGCTAGCTCTAATCTTTCTCACTGCCCAGTAAATCCATTACTCCTTAGCCTATCTATCCTGTCTTCCCTGCAGCAGCCTCTTATGTGACTAAAAACTTCTGTCTTCTGTCAGCTGTCTCCTGAAACTAAACAGTTCTAGTTTTTCAGTCTGTCCCACATAGCTTTTGTAAATCACTGGTATTTATCACTGCTCTCCTATACTTACCTTTAAAAGTTTCATGAGCTCCTTAAAGCAGCCCAAAGCAAAGTGTATCTAATAGTAGGAAAAGTAAAAAGATAATTAACTGCCCTTAGATGAGAAGAAACCCAGAGAATAAGAGCTTGCCATCACCACATAGGACTTCTCTTCTACACCAGCCAAGGATGAATTTCTCCTTCACAATTCACCTTTTCCTGTGTCCATAGGTCTGTGATCTTCCTTGCTTGCTGCCACAGCAGTTGAATCACCATTTATGATATCAAGGAAGAAGTCAGCTGGATTGTTGAAGGGTTCACATTCATATCCTTTAAAAAAGAAAACAACAAAAAACACACATGAAACACATGTATTGCACAGACCACAGCTTAGAAGGTCAAGTCTACCACTGTATCACTCTTCCACAACCCTATTACAAGAAAACTTCAATGCTTTCCATAAGCATTACTTTACTGCAGCAGAATGGATAGGATTTCGGAGATGGTGAGTCTAAGGTATCTAACACAGAGCTTCAAATATGCTTAGTCTCCACTGACTTCAGGTGAGGAGAAATCTGTAACTTGCTCCTCACAGTTCAGCATGCATAATTCTTGTCTCCTTCCCAGTGCTGTTCAGCTACATTCTGCTCTGGAAGAAGCACAGTTCTTCAGTAGATGTTGCTGGATGTCTGCTTTACAGCTTGCTCTAGAAGTGCTGCTCTTGCTTGTGTTTTCTTGGTCACAAGGAACAGGAAGGCCTGTCCAACAGGAGCTTCTTATAATGTGTTTCTAGCTATGGGACGATGGAGTAAAAAAACATAAGTGCAAGGATGCTTAATCTACAGCATTCCTGTGAGAGAGGAGGTGAGGTGGGATACTAAGAGAGTAGAAGTAGTGAGATTGGTCAAAACTCCCCCCTGAAATCCAGGGAAAGCTTGCAATCCAAAATATCCGTGGCTGCATCTAGACTAGACTAGAAATTCGCTCCACATTCTCTGTCCATTAAGAGTCAGAAACCCTGATTCTGCCTACTTGGAGAGGGGACAGCCACCCCACAGCACAATTATCTAAAGACACACCATGATTTGGTCTTCTCATTCACCCACCTGCATTCAGACTAGAGCAGATGCTTGGGTCAGCCCCTACAGATTGCTGCCAGGCTGCAGTTTGTGGTTCAGAACCTCTGGTTCTGCTGCCTAGGCCTAGCAGAACAACAGGCATCATCTTGTCTGTTGTGCATCGTGCTACTACATGCCCAAGTGATTCTGGGGTTTTGTTCTGATGCAAGGCAAAACAAAGGCAGGAGAGAGCTGTGCTCTTTGTTGTCTGAGAAATGTATTTGGTTTATCATTATGTTTTTTTCCTGTTCTAACATAATGCTGTTCAGACTGCATTTGTACAACCTCTAGTATCCTAGTGATAAAAGAGCACAGGACCAGTGTTAGGGTAAGAATCTACCCACAGATTAAACTCATTAGCCACTTGCCCTTGCTCGTGGCACAGAAGACTTACCAATAGAGCTGAAATACTCCAGGGCCTGCTTTGCAGGACCATGGTACAGCACCTTTCCCAAAGCTAATAATGTCAGACTGTCAAACAGCTTGAATATGGAATAGCGGGGCTGATGGATGGAAAATATGATGGTTCGACCTCTTCTTGAGAGTCTGAAATAGAAGCAAAACATCTCTCAAAATACACCACATTCTGCATTTCAGAAAGGTCATGTTATCCCAAGCAAAAAGCAAGCATCCAAATCAAAGACAAATACTTGTCAACTTCTGAGTCTCAACCCAGAAAAGCTGCAGATCACCCTTCGACAGCATCTCTCCTTACAAGAGACCATCACTGCAATCCAGGTAGACAAAGCTCAATGCTGTTTGCACTTAGCAAAGGCTGTGTATAAACACTCCTTAGATCTTTTCCGTATCAGGCTTCAACTTGACTTACTGGAACAGTCCTATTGCACTCAATGACAGCACCAAGCTTCACATAGCAGACTGTGGAAGACTGTTCAATTGAGATTTCTTAGCTCTTCTGCTGAAAATTCACTCTAGAAAAGTCAAAACTAGCTTCAGGTTTGTCAAATGCTCTTTCCAGTGCTTTATCACTGATGCCCAAGTATCTTGGCCAATCAAAGACCTCTATGCAAAAATAGCAGAGCAAAACACCTCCCCAGGCAAAACAAGACAACATGCAATAAACCCAGGAAGAGAGTTAGGAACTTGTTCTCATTAAATAAGCCTTGTTTGGTAGTCTTTGTAACAGAAGGCAGTTCATCTCTAATATACAGCAGATGAAGGTAAACACTGAGGGTAAATCTGCAGGTTAAATCTGATCTGAGTTCAAGGCTGTTGCCAGAGTGGAGGAAGAGACTTTGTAATAGACTCAGCTGGAAGGCCAAAAAATTATGATTACAAGGCCTGAGCTCCCAGTCCACCCCCCTCTGTGGCAAAGTGAAGCTGTCCAAGCTACGCCTGTTTTTTGGGCTCCAATCCAATGCTTGTTGTAGCAAGATTCCCATCAACTTCAAAGGGCTTTGGAAAAGACCCAAACAAATAATTGCTACAGTTTTGTTGTTGTTTGTTTTTTTTTTAATTAAAAAAGAGCACTGTAGCTACTCAGTCCTAACAGCATTCCTTTTTTTTTGGCTAATGAGCTGACAACAAAATTGCAGCAGAGCTCTGAAGAGCTAACTCTTACCTCTTCAAGAGGATGAGGACTGCATTGGCCGTGCTGGCATCAAGGCCGGTTGTTGGCTCATCAAGAAAAAGGACTGGTGGCTCCGTAATGAGCTCCATCCCAATGTTGGTTCTCTTCCGTTCCCCTCCAGACACTCCTCGGATCAATTCAGTTCCTACCTACGAGCAGAAGAAATAAGGTATTTGCAACAAGACCTAGTCAGTGCATGTTCTGGAGTTCAGGGCTTTCCACACCCAGTAGCCCCAAGCTTCACATAGCAGACTGTGGAAGACTGTTCAATTGAGATTTCTTAGCTCTTCTGCTGAAAATTCACTCTAGAAAAGTCAAAACTAGCTTCAGGTTTGTCAAATGCTCTTTCCAGTGCTTTATCACTGATGCCCAAGTATCTTGGCCAATCAAAGACCTCTATGCAAAAATAGCAGAGCAAAACACCTCCCCAGGCAAAACAAGACAACATGCAATAAACCCAGGAAGAGAGTTAGGAACTTGTTCTCATTAAATAAGCCTTGTTTGGTAGTCTTTGTAACAGAAGGCAGTTCATCTCTAATATACAGCAGATGAAGGTAAACACTGAGGGTAAATCTGCAGGTTAAATCTGATCTGAGTTCAAGGCTGTTGCCAGAGTGGAGGAAGAGACTTTGTAATAGACTCAGCTGGAAGGCCAAAAAATTATGATTACAAGGCCTGAGCTCCCAGTCCACCCCCCTCTGTGGCAAAGTGAAGCTGTCCAAGCTACGCCTGTTTTTTGGGCTCCAATCCAATGCTTGTTGTAGCAAGATTCCCATCAACTTCAAAGGGCTTTGGAAAAGACCCAAACAAATAATTGCTACAGTTTTGTTGTTGTTTGTTTTTTTTTTAATTAAAAAAGAGCACTGTAGCTACTCAGTCCTAACAGCATTCCTTTTTTTTTGGCTAATGAGCTGACAACAAAATTGCAGCAGAGCTCTGAAGAGCTAACTCTTACCTCTTCAAGAGGATGAGGACTGCATTGGCCGTGCTGGCATCAAGGCCGGTTGTTGGCTCATCAAGAAAAAGGACTGGTGGCTCCGTAATGAGCTCCATCCCAATGTTGGTTCTCTTCCGTTCCCCTCCAGACACTCCTCGGATCAATTCAGTTCCTACCTACGAGCAGAAGAAATAAGGTATTTGCAACAAGACCTAGTCAGTGCATGTTCTGGAATTCAGGGCTTTCCACACCCAGTAGCCCTTCTCATTTTCAGAGTCCCATTAGTAAACTCCAGGGCCAACAGCAGATGATGGGTCTGACTCAGTGTGAGGAACTGTGCAGCAGTAAGCAGAGCCTGTTTTTCAGAGGTAGCAGGCACCTTATGACTTTAGGGAACAACAATGACACTGACGAGGAAGAGCCAGAATGAGGCCACAGCAGTCAGAGGTGGCATTGGTGTTCAGGGATGTCATTTGGTAGTTTGCCTGCTGCTGAACTAAGAGTAGAGTAAGTAAAGTAAGAGTAAAGTAAAAGAAAAAATGCTGCTGTAATGAGCAAGCTCTGCACAGAACTTCTCCATCAGAGCCAGCTTTCCATCCCTCACAGCTTTCAGCACTGTAAAAACAATTTCCCTGTCTTGTCCTACAAAGCCAGGAAGTGACTGAGCACTTTCCAAGGTGCAATGACTAGGTGACTTTTTCACCTCTGAACTTACACAACGTGCTGCACACCGGCCAAAATCTTCTCATTTTAGTAGCAAAGACTCATACTTCTTTCCAAGTCATCTCCTGAGCTGGAGACTGACTTCTTACATGCAGGATAGTTTAGTTAGGTTCCTGCTTTGCTTAGGGCAGCTGCACTGTGTACACTGTGCTGCCCAGAGCCCAGCAGTTCAGTTTGCAGAGGCAGTACAATTCCTGAGAAACATATTCTCACTGCTCACCTTAGCATCAGCCACTTTGCTTAATCCCAGCTCGCTGATTATCTGGGTGACTCTTTCTTCCTTCTCTTTAACACTGATGGAACTGGGGAGTCGCAGGGCAGCAGAGAAGTGCAGGTTCTCCCTCACCGTCATTGTGCCCATGACAACATCATCCTGAAAGCAACACAAATAGACAGTTGGACAGCCCCCTTCAGAGCTACCTGGCTGGGCACCAGAGTCCCTGTAGTGGCAATTGCTGGATAAGCTGTTTGTGGACAGTAGAAACTGGACTGAGGAACAACCCCTCCTTCAAAATTTCTACAACACAAAATTCAAGGTCACTCAGTAGTAGTGAAGGAGAGAATGGAATTCTGCAGGCTCTGAGCTTATAAAAAGCATCACCTCAGCCTACTTTCAGGCTCAGGACTCCAAGTGCAGGCAGTACCATTTTGTACTGCACATGCATTTTCCTAACCAGGCAAAGGGAGGCAGAGCAGGTAGCTGGTTTTGTAAAGAGTTTAAATCCTGCCAGTCCAGCTGAAACCGATGGACATTGCCAGTGCTCAGCACTCAGAGTAGAGACACTCTGGGAGTAACCCAAGTCAACTTCCCAGTAACAAGCCATGTCTTGCTATGGTCCAGAGCACCTGCCCAGTTAAGCTGCCAACAAGGAGCTCTCCCCAGCTCCTCACTGGCAACAGCTTCTCAGAGAAACAAGTGTTGCACCAAGATGCTCCTGATTTTTTCCATGTGTCAATTATTTAAAATCCTTGAGCATAAGACTTTATTCTCAGGGCTAAACCTTTAGAAAAGCTTCAACAGTTGCATGCATTTCAAATAAGCATATCTAGCCAGGTGACAAACATCTGGGCAGCCTACACCGACCAGTAACAACCATGAGCCAAACAGAGTCGACATCAGGTCCATCCGAGCTTCATACCTCCCCATCACCCACGCTTTGATATTCAAGCCAATTCTGCATCCCACCATATGATGGGAGAAGGGCTGCAACACTAGGCAGCTGCTGAGAAACATGCCTGTTTATCAGGCACCCTTCAAATCCAGTGCCCTTTTGCTCCTACCCTGCAGGGAAGCAGATTCCTGCAAAAGTAACAAAGTGTGGCACAACACCCTCACTTGCAAGACAGGAGCAGAGAGACCACCAGCAGTTTTATAGGGATAACACAGGACTTAGTCAGTTTTATGCAGATGGGCATATAGACCTGCTAAGTATGTATGTATTTATGTATACTTAGGTCTTAAGTGTTGTTTTTAGTCTTTGGGCCATCTTTATTGATCCAGGAAGTGCTGCACAAGGGTGGGAGGGGACAGAGACCATTTAATTCCTCACTTAGTTGCTTATCATTTTAAGGTTAAGTTTGGTTGCTTTGGACACTTGAGAGACAAATGTCTCAAACTGGGACCACTTGCAAGAGACCTCCCGGCTATTCATGAAACATGAGAATTTGAGGCTCTTTGACTTGCAGGATCAAGACTCAGCAGTCTCGTGAAATGCATCTTCCCTGCATCCCCCAGCTGGCAGCTTTCAGAAAAGCTGCCTAATTCACATCTGCCTGCAGTCAGAAACCTGGATGGTGTCCAGATTTGGCTGCTCTTATGGCTGCCAAGAATCTCCTTCTCCTCGGCTACCCCAGGGCTTTGAGGGTCTATTATTGGTCCAGGCCTCCACCCACTTCCGCAGATTCAGCAGGCTTTTCCTGTCTCTGAGTGGAATGAAGCTCTGTCCCAGCCAGCCAGAATCAAAGGAAGAACAGCAGGGATCTATTTACTTCCTAGAATTATTGTCTGATAGCTTGAAGGTGCTTCTGCCAGTCAAAACCGCTTCTAGTTTTGCAACAAGAGATTTTGGATGTTGTGGGTTGTTTTTGTGTTTGTTTTTTTTTCCCTCAGATTTGGATTTTTATTTTTAACCCTCGCTGGAACTTCAGTGCAGAGCCCAGAGAAGCCACAGTAAGCCCAGTGGCTTATGCATCCATGTGGTTTTGGAAAGACAAAAACCTCTGCTTGAACTTGATTGGAGTGACAGTCTGATGCTCTGTCTTCCATATCCCAGGAAAATACTAAACACTGTAATATCTGAGTTATCAGATTAGACTCGGTAAGGATGACTGAATATTACCTAACCTAACACTTCATGCTTTGCTCATGATGACACAGAATTCCCTCACAAGGGCTTCCAAGCCTCCACTGAAAGCATTTGCTCACCTGCACAACATATCCTGAGATGCACTTGAAATTTGGAGGCTGTGGGATGCCATCTATAAGCACTTCTCCAGACAGGCCTGCTGGGTCCTTTCTGGCAGCCAGCACATCTAGGAGACTTCAGAAAAACACCAGACATTAGGTTTTGCAATAACAGCTGCTTTTACCTTTGACTGGATAAATACCACCAGCCAGGACTGCAGTTACAGCTGCTCACAGCCTGGTGCAAACCAAAGGGCTCAGAAAGGGGCTTCCTCCGCTTGGGTGGCTTTAGATCTTTGTACAGACAGGCTGGTGTTGAGGCTGGTGGACAGGCTTTCTAATGCAAGGTGTGCCACAGCCCTATTACAGCACAGAGACCCCCACAATTCACAGCAGTCAATCCCCCACAGACACTGACTCAGCCTCTGTATTAACAGCCAGCCTCAAGTGCACACAAGCAAAAGGACCCTGCTGAGTAGCTGCAGCCTGCTCTCCAGCCAGGAGACTACAGAAGTACCTGCTTTGATCTCAAGGAAATTAATCCAAATGGGTATAAACAAGACTAGAGGTAGGATTAATTCTATAAAGAAATTTTGTTTTAAAATATCACTGGATTCTCCTCACTGCCAATGCAGTGGCTAGCCTGTCTGCTGGCTAAGTAAACACTGTCCTGATGAAGTGCTGTGCTTGAAAACCTCCTGATTAGCCAGCAGGCTCCTCCTTAGAGAGGGAGATCAAAGGTCACCACACAGACACCAGTGTGAATGGTGGTCAAATTTGTCAGTCTCTGTCACTCTCAAAGGCAGAGAGTGACAAAGAACTCTTGTACCATGGTTATACAGGAGACAAAACAGCATCGGCACAGACTGGAGATACTCTAAATGGTATTTCTCTGTGCTTTCATTCAAAGATCTCAAGCACACATGCACCCCCACCACCAGGCCATGGCCAAGACAGGGTGAGGATCCAGAGCATCCTACACACTTATATTACACCATATTTCTGTCTTGCTGCAGTGACACCACAGGGAACAACATCCCTCCTAATTTCCAATGGAGCTTGCCCTCTCCCTGCTCCCCACCCCATGACAGGTCTAGGACAGAGCCTATACCTGAGCTCCAGTCATCTCAGTTCAGCCTGGTATCTAAACTCAGGCCTCCACTAAATGTGACTGGAGTAATATGAACAACCAGTTGGAGCAGATGAGGGGTGTGATACCACTGGAGGGCAAAAGCTCCAGCAAAGTCAGCTGCAGAGGGACACCAGAGCAGACTGCACCACCAGATTTCTCACATGCATGCAAAGATCTGAGGTTATGGATCCCTTACATATTCCCCAACCCTCAGAGTCCCAAATCCTCTGTGCACAGCTGACTGTCCAGGTGAAGGAGCATACGAAAGTACTCACGAAGACTTCCCGCTCCCTGTTGGCCCCAGGATAGCATTCAAGCCTGGCTTCATAATGCCACTGGAAGAAGGAAAGAATTATTTCCAAATGGAGGAGCCTTCACATGAAGCTTATAATAGAGTTAAATTGTGAACAAAATGCTGTTGAAAGAAAAACTTCAGAGATTATTAAAACCTTCTCCTTAAATCTTAAATCAATATGCATTTTTCCCTTCTTGTCCCAGACTGCAAGTCAGAACAGGACATCTAAAAAGGCAATCTACAGAAGACAGAAGTTTTTGCTTAGTTTGCCTAAAAGCAAATTATGAAGTGCTCACAATGAACTGCAGACTGGCAGGAGGGTAGTTGTTTCTTCACCTGCACAGCTGGATCTGGAGAGTGACAGTGAGGTCACCAACTCACAGCAGCAGATTAAATTCCTACCCTCTGGTATTTTATTTAAGCAAGAACTTACTAAACATTATGAAGGATCTTCTTTTCCACAGTTTTCCGTCTATACAGGAATCCACTGGACTGCTTAACGGAGTACTGGATGTTATGGAAACTCACAACAGAGCCCCGAGGCAATCGGAGGGATTCTTGTGTTGGAACAGAACGTTGGAAATTGCCCACTCCTTCCTCTTCTCCAACAGAAATAATGCTGTGATCGAATGTGTCTGCCATCATGTCCTTGTTACACAAGTCGAGCTCCACTGCATGGAGTTTTTTCAGGTCACTGTTTGGAGCGGTTTCCATCTCTTCAGACAAGAAAAAAACACTCAGGGAAGGAGACACACAAGGAAAAATTTCTGCAGGAAGTGTCTTGAAAAAGCAAGTTCACACACACCACACCAATCCTCACAAGTGCCAAGTTTCCAAAAGGATGGACATCCACACTGGAAGACTTCCAGTAGTTCCCAAAGGCATGGAAACCCACAGACTTAGAACAATACATATAGCCTTTAAGAATGAGACAGGTTCTTGAAGTGATGTTAGCTAAAAGAACATCTAATGAGGTGTAAACCAAGCTCCTTTGTGATGTTCACCATCTTGCTCAACACAGTGGAAAATACAAATGCAACCTGCTACCACTGAAGCTAAAGAGACTCAAGATCCCCTCCTTCAGTTGTAACATGCTTGCCTTCCCTCACACACCCACAAAGCCTGCAGAGAAAACCTATTGATGAACCTGTATGAAGAACCACTGGAAGAAAAATGCTTGTACTTATGAAAATGAAGGACAGTCACATGCACCGTGTTTGCTGGCACAAGTTTGTTTCAGAAATGCCGCTGTGATTAAAATAGCAATTACATGTGTTGCTTATCATGTTTCAGACACACCAGTATGAAGATACTGCACAACTACAAGGAGGAAGAGAAATTTGGATTTGTCTGCAGGCACTATTTACCCTGAGGAACAGTAGGAGTTTTCCCTCCCACAGAGAGAGGGATCTGGGACATCCCACAGCAAGGAAAAACATGGTACAAACTAGTACATTAAGGAAAATTAAATATGGTTTCTATTTGTAACCGCAGGCAAAGTTATAAAGCGTTCTGGTTCAAGCAGATAAACTGCTTCTGCAGCTCAGGATGGGAGAACCTGAAAGGGAGGACATGTGAACAGTGAAGGGAAGGAACTGTTCTCCCTATCTGTGCATCAGAGCCTACCTACATAGTAGGAAATATATCAATACGGGTATCACCATTAATATTTACTCACTTATTACTCATAGCAGCAGAGCTCTTTTGTCAAGCGTTGCTGGAACTGAATAAACTGCTTCTGCAGCTCAGGATGGGAGAACCTGAAAGGGAGGACATGTGAACAGTGAAGGGAAGGAACTGTTCTCCCTATCTGTGCATCAGAGCCTACCTACATAGTAGGAAATATATCAATACGGGTATCACCATTAATATTTACTCACTTATTACTCATAGCAGCAGAGCTCTTTTGTCAAGCGTTGCTGGAACTGATGGGAGACCAAATTTGGATCATAAAAAAAAAAGTTTAAAGTTCTTGCTGTGATGTTGCACGTGAAGAACTTGGAAACCCTGCAGTCCCCATGTTCTGCAGCCTGTGCAAGGCCTGAGCACAACTTATACCCTGCCTTTTAGCCAGGTTCCCCCTACACTGTAAACCTTCCTGTCACCTTTCCATGAACTACAACAAGGAATAAAGGAATTAGTACATGCCCCTTTCAGAAACTGAACATGACAGGTTAGACTAACACAAGTTAGTGTAATCATTTACTTCCCTTCTAGCTGCTGGCAGGAAGGTGTTTGTTGTAAAGCTAAAAATTTACTGTGATGTTGCTGAAAGCCAAGGCAGTCACTGACTAAGAGAGCAAGGCATGAGAACTGTCCACAAAGACAGACAAACATCCACTGATGGTTACTGGAGTTCTGTGGAAAGGCAGATGTATCTCACCAGTCGCTCTTTACCCACCATCTACACTTCTTTCCTCCCAGGACTGAGAGGGTGATAATCAGTAGGGCCAGTAACACCCATCACTGCAGAAGGAGTGGATTTCTCAGGGAAGAGTCAGTCATACTTTTAAAAAACTGGAAATACATGAGCCAGACTTAAAAGAAACAGGAATTGCTCTTTCCTCTCTGCCTGTAACTTAAAGCTCACGAGGTTGCAGAAGTTTCCTGCCTGTATAAGTAAAATAAAATTGGTGGGAAGAAGGAAGGGTTGTTTAGCTTGGACACATCCTGAACTCCCAAGACTGGTCACCCCTGGGAAAGCCTTGCTTATGGGAAGCAAGAAAGGATATGCTGGTTACATCAGCAAGAGAAGGCTTATATGCTTGAAAGGTTGGACAACAGATCAGAAGAAGAAAAAAAAAAAAAAGTCAAGATGACAGTGACACCAGGGGCAAAGACCTGGTTAGACTTTTGAACATTTCACTGTCTTTTGTATCTCACATCCGCTCGCAATAGGTTCTGTAGCTTAATACACCTTAAACCTCTTTAATTGGCAAAGTTACCGATTAGCACTGGCAAGCTAAGCCACTGCTGCGGGTATGTGCAAGGAGGGCAGGAGGACGAGGAAAGCTTAGCAGAGGCTACAGGTTGGACCAGGCAGCAGCAGCAGCAGCAGCAGCAGCAGCAGCAGCAGCTCACAAGCACATTTTCCCTCGGCTCCACC